CAAATTCGGATGAACTTAACATGACAATAGAAGACTTGAAAAGACTCACACTGAGTTTGAACTCAAGTCTGAACGAAATTGGACTCAGACACATGCAAAGATCAAAATTTGGATCGCACACGGGAAACTCAAACTACAAGCTCTTTGATGCACGAATTCTTATAACAACCCCTATAAGGTCAATGTACTATGCTTGCAAGCAACAACAGATAGTGCAAAGCATACGAGAATCAAAGATCGGTCCCTCAGCAAAATAAAATCATCAACCACCCGAGATTGGTGAAAGGGTGGATATGATGCAGAAGCAATGGGTCCTCTACAAACATTTTCAGGAGCTCGTAGTGGATACAACTAGTCCCCTACGAATGACTACAAACCATTTGTGGATAACAACAGTGAGAACCTCGTAAGCACAACGAATCACTGTGGACACAAGTATGAATATCACCTACGACAGTGTGTACCAAGATCTACAAGCACGGTCGGGTACAAAGGCAACCCGATGTAACGAAAAGGACACCCCCTGACAGAAGGGAGGAAATATTTGAACAAATTAGAACCAAACTTCCTGTGTTCCAAAATTCCTTCTTGAGTATATATTCAGAAGAAGACGATATTCACATCTACAAAAATTAAAGTCCAGAAGAATTCCCCGGTGAATGAGAATGGGGGGAGTCAATATCAAGACTAGAACGCCACCGGATCTGCAACCCTTATATGAAAGCAGACAGAAGGCGTGTATAAGCTTTTCAAGGAAATGTTGTGCATTCAAATGACAAATACATGCACAACTAAAATATTCTCAAAAGTACCCCTACACGTGCACCGTAGTTTGTATACACATAGGTACACAAGGGGTAAATACAATCTCAACCCGCATGGGCCCTGGCGAGTGTGTTATTGGTACACACGTGACGCCTATGGATGCTACGCGGGTTGACAAGTGAATTCAAGTTCGAATCCGATCCTTCTATACGGATCAATAGAAGTCGACAAGATTCGAACTACCTAACAAAATACACGGTTGTAGCGACCAGTGTATTTGTTTAAATACATTCTTTTTAGGCCTTCAAGGCCTAAAATCAAGAAAATTCATAAACAAAGGCATGAAGCCTACGAAACCCGGTCCTCCTAAGTAGATAAATAGGAGTAGACAGGGTTCAAGATATTGAATAAATATACGGTCACGAATGTGATCGGAATATTTATTTTAATGCATTCATATTCGGCCTTCAAGGCCTAAAACGAAGAAAATTCATGAACAAAAGGCACAAAGCATACGAAACCCGATCCTCTGTCGACAGCCAGACAGAGTCGACAAGGTTCAAGCTTTAAATGGGAAATGACCCCAAATCAACCCCGATGATGGCCGTGTTGAATGCAGATCTCAACCGGAGGGGTTCCCAAATACTTTCAATTGTCTCCCAAAAGTCTATTCCAAATACTTTCAAAGTCCACTTAATCCAAAATATCCCCCAAATACTCCAAAAATCCCAAAATTCCAAAAATATTTAAATTTGAAATTCAATCCCATTAATCACTTAAAGCAAAATCCATCCATCCTCCGCAACAGTTTGCCGAGGTGGACAAATTAAAATTTACTTCAGCTCACAAAAGAGCTAAAATGCCTAGTCGAAAAATATCACTAGGATCCATTCTCAAACATCTTTGCCAGTAAGGGACGTGGTACGTGTCCTCTAACTGGCAGTTCGCCGCCCAAATGGCACTGCAGGTAAACGGTTATGACGGGGCCCTCTGAATCGAGTGGTTTTGCCGCCAAATGGCACCACAGATAGCGGTTATGGCCAGAGCCAATACGCTGCTTATTGGCATCAAATCCTTGAAATATGAATCAATAGGATATGATTGATAGGGCACAAAGCCCTCTGTCAGCTAAGGTGGATTTAAATTTGTCCCCTTAGACAAACATTCCCCCCAGGTCTACAAAGTCCACTTGGACGAAGCAACCCATGGCTGCCGACAAGGATCCTTCTGTCAGGTTGGGTCGACTACCTCCTCTGACTAAGTAGACCAGGGACCACGATGGCCCGGGACGACGGAACCATGGGATCTTGATCGGGCTCATCATCCATCCCCCACCATCCGCTTTAAGTGCAAGATGGTGCAATTTCTATTTTAAATATCAAACTCTCCAAACCCTTCAAATTCCAAACTTCCAATCCTCAAAATCCAAACCCATGCTGCTACTATATGCCAGATACCACGTACTCTATGCGTATCTGATCGACGACTAGCCTTAATCGAAAGTTCTCTCTCATAATCGGGAGCGGTAATTAACTATAGGGGCTTGCGCCTATAGGAAACCAGAACTCAGATCATAAAGTCCTCACAAAATGAGGGCGAAATCTCTGGGTAGTGTCTTATCTACAAACCCATCTGCCTTCCAAAATTTACCCCGGAACTTAGTTCGTTAAAACTCCCCTCACTCAAAAAGTAAAAAAGAAATCGCGCGGCGGGGAGGCCGGGGCCGAATTTTTGGAGCCCACAAGACTCTAAGGATTATGGAGGACAATTTCTCATTCCTCTTTCTGGCTAATGTTTTTTGCTTGTAGATCTCAATTTTAATTAAACAATATCTCCTGGCTCGAAATATACTTCTATCATGTGTTCATCAACCTTCCTTTTTGTGATCTACTGGGCTCTTAATAGATGTCCCTTTAGCTCAGATAAAATTGCTCCTCTCCTCTAAGTATTGATCTACACTAGATACTAGTGTAGTGCTATGTCCATAAAGAATCAAATGAGATGGATCTCTCCCATAATAAATCCTGAATGGGGTGGTCTGTGCTACAGAATGGTACGAGTCGTCGTCCTAATATTCAGCCCAAGCAATCCACTTAGTTCAACTCTCCGGTGTATATAATACAAAGCATCTAAAATAGGTCTCTACACTTCTGTTAAACACCTCTATCTTCCATTTGTCTGGGGATAGTATGTTGTGCTTCTCTTTAAGACTGTCCCCTGTAAATGAAAAAATTCTTTCCAAAACTGGCTAAGAAACACATTGTCTCTATCCAACGCAATGGATTATGAAAATCCATGCAAACGCACTACCTCTCGTATGAAAGCAATAGCCAAAGAGACCGCACTATAAGGGTGCTTCAAAGGGATGAAGTGTGCATATTTGCTCGAACGGTCCACTATTACCATTATAATTGAAAATCCCTCTGAACGTGTCAACCCTCGATGAAATTAATCGTCAAATCCACCCACACCCTCTCCGTTAGAGCTAGAGGCTGTAGTAACCTTGCTGGTGTCATGGCTAAGTACTTGTGTCTCTGGCACGCATCACATCTCGATACCAACTTGATGCATTCTAGTGCTAAAAATCAACAAAGGAAATAGGAATAAATCGCAAGAATACAAATTTAGGAATTGAATTTGGATTTCTTCTTCAAAAGCAATGCAAGATACAATTGATCTACTGTTCGAGAGGAAGATCAGCTCTCCCGCGACCCTATGAATCGCTATGAACTCTAGAACACCGAAAAAACTACAGCAAAAATGTAATTGCCTCTAACCCTAGCCAATCACCACCTCTAAATAGCTACAACCCCCATTAAACATAATAATTTTTTTCCTAAATATTTCTCCTCCTTACATAGTGAATATTAACTGCCCTAAACCCCACAAAAGGTTTTGAAATCCGTTCCCTGCTATTTTGGTTCCCACCCAGCTGCTTTGCTAGGTTCAGCAGGTCAAAAGCGGGCGGCTAGTCCCTACTTGTATAGGCTGTAGGCGTCAAAAAATCCTATACATAATATAGTTGGAGTGTTATTGTATTTCCTTTGCAATCACTTATTTGGGCTTTAGAGTTTTAATGATTATAAGAAAGCTACAAGTATGAAAAAAAAGTTAGGGAGCAAAACAAAAGCTAAGACTGATTATTTATAAAATAGGCTCAGCACTAAGGAATATGAGAAAAAAAAAAAAAAAGATATGTAGAGCAGATAAGGTAAAACTCAAGAAATTTAGAGATTTTGATGAAGCTAAATATATTGAACAATAAAAAGAATTTCATTAAAAGACAACATCAAAAAAATTTGAAAAGCGACACTTCAAAAAACTACCAAATGAGGGATTTAAGAAAAAATGTTTTGAAAGAATAACAAACAATATAATGAAGTATAATATTAATTGATTCAAAAAAGTGAAGTTGAGTTAACTTTGAAAATGAAGCATAAATGTAAGCTTTGGGGAAAATGGGATACATTAAGAATTTGACTTAAAAGGGATATTATACAACTTGGTTAGAAAATCATTTCGATCAAATTTTAGAAGGGATATTGATAATTATTATTTGACTTTAGTAGAACGGAAGAAAATATCTAAATATGATAGATTTAAGTGTCTTAAATTTATCATACAAAAATATTGAAATATAAATAAGGATATATCTTCAAAAGCTATAAGATTAAATGATCAAAATGGACAAGTACCTAAAATTTGTTATGCTATATAACTATCATGGAAGTCTAAAGGTAAATGTTATAAAAGTAAAATCACAACATCGATCCAAATGTCAGCTATTAGACAATCATTACTATCTAAGTTATGTGTGACAAAAAATAAGAATATTAAGATGAATTTGTAGCAAAACTATGAAGAATAAATTAAAAAATGATTATATTAACGGTTTGACTGATGTCAATCGAAAATATGGTGACCAAATGTAAAGTAATGGGCAGAAAATGTATTTAATTAGACCAATTGATAAAATTAGCATAATCTTAAGAAGATTAAGAACTAAATGAGTGACCTAAGATTAAATGAATAGAAGTTTTTCAAAATGATCTGCGAACAAAAATATATCATCTCACGAAGTACTCAATAGGAACGAATGGAAAATACTAACCACAAATTGTTGAGATAAACCTAATGATGATGATGTCTAGGGGACTCCATTCTACTAATTGATAAATTCCATAAACACCATAACCATATAAATGTGAATAAGAAAGAATAATATAGCATTTAACCTTGACTGCTTTCAGAAGAGCTGTTAAATGTTGCCTCAACAAAGACAGTGTCTTCCCATACGTTTCATGAATTAATTCTTCAGTTCTTCGAGAAACTCGATCATCCAAGTCAAAATTAATAGGAGGCTCTATGAAATTATAATCTTCATAAAGCGATCCTTCAAAGTCAAGACAGGGTCCAATAAATAGAAGCTTCCTTTTCCAAGGGAAAGGTTCACCATGAATTGTCATAGGATTTTCCAAGTTCCAACTGTTCAAAAGAAGAAAGAATTATTCGGTCAAAAAAAACTGAAGGTAATTAATTATTAAACTGAATAGAGCTCACATAGTTAGCATTTTGCGTGCAAGGCAAGTTGCATCCTCCAGGTATTTTAGAGATGCTTTTGACGTATCTCGTCCAAATATTACTTCTTCTGCAGCTCTACCTCCCAATAGTACCTCCAACATAAGGAAGATTAACAATTGTCAAACATTTTTCCATGTAATTAATTATCAAGCATACAAGAACACAAGGCAATCCATGATAAGAAAAAAATACCTGCAGGCGATGTAGTAACTGGGGACGCTTTTCAAACATATAAGACTCTTCATCAAGGCGATGGAATACAATTTGGGAGAGCGTCTGCACATATATCAACAATGATCTAATTCATGTAATGTACGCATATTATAAAAATACCAAAAAGATGAACAAAGATGAAAGTACAAAACAAAATTTAGTAGTATGCCACAACATGAAGGCAAAATAATTTACCTGGCCCCGAGGTATGATAGAAATACGTTCGCAGTACTCAACTTTAGCATTTTCATAGCGTCTCAATAAATGTGATGTTATCGCAATGCCAACCTCAGCTATAGCTCTACGGCATTGCCCTTGATGCCCTAATTCATGGCCTACCTTCTTTGGTCCTATCGTTAGCCTATCAACTGCCTCATCCATATCAGACTGAATGACCGATTCATGCTTATTCCTTACTGCTACCAAAGCTGCCTCTTGCATTAGTTGAGCTAACTTTGCACCAGTCCATCCTGAAAATTATGTCACTTCAAATTCATAACATATTGCAATTGAATTATAGTGATGTAGATCACGAAGATTGAAAGGGTAAGATCACCTATAACAACCATAACTGTCTAAATTTCTAAGGTATTAAGGATTACCACAAGCTGTAATAATTTGTTAACATAACAGTGTCCACTGCATTACTTCTGGCAGTATTTGTATAATAGATGATGCAAGGAAAGCACGTGAATTGTTAAAAGCAATGAGAAAGGAAAATTTGACTTTATATGACTCATAATAATCATAAATGGCCAAATAAATCTTTGTCATTAATTGGAAAAATATGTCCGAAAATTCATTTCAGAGCAAAATACTCTTGCTATGCCCTAAATAATAAGGTTCCCATTAAAAACACTAAATAATGAGGTTATGCCCTTCTCAGCTCCTCTAAACACTTCTAAGCATTCTCCAATGATCAAACTTCATCATCCTTTAGTTAGATTTTTTTACTCAGTAGGATAAGAAGACTGATGGTAAAGTTAAATCAGACCAAGTTAATACCATCTAACGCAGTCATGGGTAAGTCTTTTCTAGGCTTGAATTATGTTGTTTCACATGATTTAAGAAATTGTGTAATGTTTGACTGATTTCAATGGTTTATATAGAATTGAGGTATTTTTCATGGAGACCTAAAGCTTTGTTCGAACCTTATTCTAACCACAAAATGTTTGAATAATTTTGTATATTTCAGTTCAAAATATGACCGAATATTGTTAAAATATTTTCAAATATGATTACATACTCAAACCATATTCAAAACATGCTCAAGCCATATCTGAAACTTGTTCAAACCTTGTTTAGCTTGTTCAAACATGGTTCAAACTAAGTTAAAAAATGCTGGAATAATATTCAAACAATTGTTAGAGCAATGTTCAAACAATATTTGTTGAAATCCAGCCGTTCCCAGTGTAGAGGATCCGACAGACACAAAGATCAATCCATGGGATGCTCTCATGCATCACGCCATAATGAAGGAACGAATTTAGGAAAGTTTTTATTAGAGATTTTATTGTATTCTATTTCCTCATTAGGATATCTTGTATAGAACTATAAATAGGGAAGATTGTAATGAATAAAGTTAAACTTTTCCCTCTCAAATTCTCCGTTTTAACATGGTAACAGAGCCGATCGGGAGGCCTTCATTGCCGAACGATCCAACCCTCTGACGCTGCAAGAGCTCGACGCAGAAGTGTTGATCCTCTATCGATCCCGCCAGTTGCTACTGCAGGCGGACGCCTCGACTTCGTCAGGACTGTCGTCGAAGGAGCCTAGACGAACAGCCACGAAGGAAATGAAGGAGACGAAGGGGCAGTCTAATCCGTGTGAAACCCTCCGTGCGGAAGATACTTCTGAAGCCGATCGGAAGTCCGTCCCGATCGCTGAACAAGAGAAGGGAAACCCGATCCTGCTCTTCCACTCGATCGACAGAACCGCACGAGCATCTTCCCACGCTCGGTGGAGGAACCCGTTTCGATCTCTGGTTCCAGCTCGGTGGAGGAGCCTGATCCGACAGGAAGGGAAGATCGTCAAAGGAGCAAGCCGCCCGCTCAAACGCCTGGTCCGCCTGCTCGAACGCCTGGTCCGCCCCCTCCATCTTCTTTTTCGCGGTGCCCTAAGCTACCCGGGAAGCCTTATTTGCTAACCAAGGTAGGCCGGGAAAGTTTCCTTAAAAAAAAAATCTTATAAAGTTTCCTGAAAACGATGAAAATTTAGAGGAAGAAGAAGTGAATGAAACTGAATCTGAAAATGACAATGAAATAGAAAGACTTGATGTTGAAGGAAATGAAGGTGGAGACATTTTGGTAATTCGACAAGTTCTAACAACAACAATTGACAAAGAAAATAGATGGCTAAGAAGAAACATATTCAAAATAACTTGCACCATCGAAGGAAAAATCTGCACCCTTATGATAGATAGTGGAAGTTCGGGAAATTTTGTTTCTCAAAAACTAGTTGACAAACTTAAACTCAAATCAAAACCACTTGCTAAATCCTATAAGATCTCTTGGTTCAAAAAAGGGGGTGAGGTTCCAATCACTAAACAATGTACTGTCAATTTATCAATTGGGGGATTATTTAAAGATCAAGTTGTTTGTGATATTGTGCCTCTTGAAGTTTGCCATGTTTTGCTAGAACGACCTTGGCAGTACGACAACAAAACTGTTCACGATGGAGAGAAAAACACATATACTTTGTTGCAAAATAATAAAGAGTTTACTCTTCATCCACAAAAGAATGTGTCGGATTCACCCATTAAGAAAAACACAGTTGCCAAAATTACTTCTCCTGAACTGCTTTTAAATGCTAATGATTTGAAACATTTTGAAGTTGCTTATTTGGTTTTGGGAAAAGAATCTTATACTGTTTTTCATATCCTAAAAAAATGCAAGCTTTATTGGATGAGTTTTCTGATATAACTCCTGATGATTTGCCAATTGGGTTGCCTCCTATGCGACAAATTCAACATCATATTGATTTAATACCTGGAGCTACTTTTCCCAACCTTCCTCATTATAGAATGAGTCCAACTGAGCATGCTGAACTTTTAAACAAGTATCTGAATTGTTAAAAAGGGTTTGATTCAAGAAAGTTTGAGTCCCTGTGCTGTGCCTGCTTTGCTAACTCCAAAAAAAGATGGAACATGGAGGATGTGTGTGGATAGTAGGGCAATAAATAAAATCACCATTAAATATCGATTTCCAATTCCTAGACTTGATGACATGCTTGATATGCTGAGTGGTGCCAAAATCTTTTCTAAAATTGATTTGAGAAGTGGCTATCATCAAATAAGAATAAGACCTGGTGATGAATGGAAAACTGCTTTTAAAACTAAAGAGGGTTTGTATGAATGGCTTGTAATGCCTTTTGGTCTTTCAAATGCTCCGAGTACTTTTATGAGAACTATGAATCATGTTTTGAAACCTCTCATTGGAAAGTTTGTTGTGGTTTATTTCGATGACATTTTGATTTATAGCATTCACCCTTCTGAACACTTAAATCATGTGAAACAAGTGTTGTAAATCTTAAGAGAACAAAAACTTTTCATCAACCTTAAAAAATGTTCTTTCATGACTTCGAGTTTGACGTTTTTGGGCTTTATTGTTTCTGCTGAAAGAATAAAAGTGGATCCGATTAAGATTGAAGCAATTCAAAACTGGCTTATTCCTAAAAATATAAGCGAAGTAAGAGGATTTCATGGTTTGGCTTCTTTCTATAGGAGATTTACAAAAAATTTCAATTCTCTGATTGCTCCTATTACTGATTGTTTGAAAAAAGGGATTTTTAAGTGGACACCTCAAGCTGAACAAACTTTTGAAATTATTAAAACAAAAATGAGTCAAGCTCCCATTCTTAGCTTGCCAAATTTTGACATCATTTTTGAAGTTGATTGCGATGCCTCTCATATTGGTATTGGTGCCGTGCTTAGTCAAGAAAGAAAACCTGTTACTTACTTTAGTGAGAAACTGAATGAATCTAGGTCTAAGTATTCTACTTATGATTTAGAGTTCTATGCTATTGTGCAAGCTTTAAAGAGATGTTACTTGATTCAACGAGAATTTGTTTTAAATACTGATCATGAAGCACTTCATTTTTTGGGCTCTCAAAAAAATTTGAATAAGAGGCATGCCAAATGGGTTTCATTTTTGCAAGAATATATTTTTCATATCAAATATAAAACTGGTGTTTTGAATAAAGTTGCTGATGCTTTAAGTCGAAGGTCTCACTTGTTAATAACTATTTATCCGACTGTTACTTCTTTTGAGTTTTTGAAAGAAACTTATGCCAGTGATTCTGACTTTAAAGATATTTGGGAAGTTTGTCTTGCTTCGGGAACTGATCCATCTGGTCAATACATTATTCATCAAGGGTTTTTGTTTAAAAGTTCTAGACTTTGCATTTCAAATAATTCCTTAAGAGAATAGTTTGTGCATGAACTTCATAGTGGGGGTTTGAGTGGACATTTTGGTCAAGGGAAAACTATTGCTATGGTAGACGAAAAATATTTCTAGCCTCATATGAGAAAACAAATTGCTAAATTGGTGAAACAATGCAAAATCTGTCAAGCTTTTAAAGGAATATCGCAAAATACTGGTTTATACACTCCTGTCCCAATTCCAAATAAACCTTGGGAGGATATTTCTATGGATTTTGTTCTTGGTCTTCCGGTTACTGCTAGAAAGCATGATTCTATTTTTGTTGTTGTTGATCGTTTTAGTAAAATGGCTCATTTCATTCCTTGCAAAAAAACTTCTGATGCTTCACATGTGGCTGATTTATTTTTTAAAGAAATTGTTCGTCTTCATGGTGTCCCTCGTACATTTACTTCTGATCAGGATACTAGATTTTTAAGTCACTTTTAGAGAACTTTGTGGGCTAAATTAGGTACTTCTCTTCAGTTTAGTAGTGCTTATCATCCTCAAACCGATGGACAAACTGAAGTTGTCAATTGAAGTTTGGGAAACCTTTTGAGATGTCTTGCTGGTGAGAAACCTTTTCAATGGGATTTAATTCTACCTCAAGCTGAATTTGCATATAATAATTTTGTTAAAAGAACTTCTGGAAAAACTCCCTTTGAAATTTTATATGGTCAGTCTATTCCACATATTTTGGATAGAAATGGTTTGTCTTTACCTAACAAAGTGCTAAAGCTTTAGAATCTTTTGATCATATCAAATCGGTCCAACAGCAAGTTCTAGAAAAATTCCGTATAGCTAATGTCAAATACAAAGCGGCTGCAGATAAACATCGAAGAGAGGTAGTTTTTAAAGAATGTGACATGGTAATGGCTTACTTTCGTTGCCAACGATTTCCGATTGGTACTTTTGGTAAACTAAGCAGAAAAAAATTCGGACCTTTCCGAATTATCCAAAAGCTGGGCACAAATGCATACCTCTTGGATCATCATATTACTGTTGGAACTTCTCCAATATTTAATGTATCTGACCTTTCTTTTATGAAGGAAATA